TCCCCACAAGACAGCTTCCATTTTTCAAAAAAGCCAAAGGGAAAATCAAGAGTTTTCAGAAGCATATTCTATTTCGGCAAGTGCATCCCTTTGTCTTTAACTCTGATCCATTTCATCAAAACCCCGTATTAGCGTGGTCCCTCCCAAGGCACCTTTTAGTCAGCTCTGGAGACAGGAGGTGCATCCGGTTTATTCCTTCTCCTTTGTTTCTGTCCTGTTGCTTTGCTCCAACACTGACAACCGCGTTTGAGGGGCCTCAGACTTGCTTCCAGGGAACAATAACTCAGACTATGATTTCAAATGCTTCCTTTCTTCTGTCACTGTCACCAAGGCCTGAGGGAAAGCAGTCTACATGCTGGTTTACCTCTGAGGCAACTGCCAGAGGTGCCAACTGTTTCCCCTTAACTACTACCCACTGTTGACTGTCTAGATTTCCATCTCCCAGGGAAGACATTGCTTCAGCTTACCTATTCATCATCATTTGGGAAGGCCAGAGACGTGTGCGTCAAGCCATCCCCACTGGAGTCATCATGACCCTTACCTGATACAGGGGCTCCCTCTGGGTCTATAATCTTTGTTCAGGGAATGGGGAAAATGTCCTGTGATTTGTTAATCCCTCCTGTGCAGCGAAGGGGAAATTTCAGAGTGACTATTTCAATTTTGGTGATATCAGGAGCGAGCATCCAGATGTCTTTGCTTACAATTTTTAAAAAATAATTTTAGCAAAGGAAATTTACCTTTCACAATAAATGTATTCTAGAGGGCATTATTCATGGGTTAACTTAATATTACCAGGGAGCTAACAATAGTTTCTTAACAAGAGATGGGGAGCCATTTTGGAAATGTTCTATTATGGAAAGAGGGCCTGTGACATGGATTCATATATCATGCCGGGGTCATATTCATATGGATTCATATGCCAGCCATGTGTCAGCCATAAGTTACATCATTTCTTAAGCTGTCACAGTTTCTCCCAAGCACACATGCCCTCAGGATCAGAAACAACTCTGCCATTTGGTTAAAAAAAAATGCTTTTAGTTCAAGAATTTTATAGATTACAAATTGTAGAGATTCTTTATTCCAGTATAAAGAAACAGAAACCAAAAGAGACTCATCTTTCACATAGGTCTATTAGTTGGGGATCCCTGGTAGATATATATATAGTTTCATATGCCTGTACTATGTGCCATTGAACTGTACTCTTGAAAATGGTTAAAATAGTAAATTTTATGTTATGTGTATCTTACCACATATATATGCATATATGCAGAAAGAAACACATATAAATATATATTAATTAGGTATCTGAATAGGGAGCTATGATCTTAAAAAAAGATGATTTTTTTTCCTAAGTGACAATGTGAATTGTATGAGGCTTAAAATCATCTGTATGGATTTTTGGTGTGTGATAAGCTACATTATTTAAACTAGAAAAATCTGGAATTATAGAGAATTATTTGGCTTCTGAGGCCATTGGGGCAGGAAGGGAGTGTGGGAGCTGCATGCCCTCCCTGCTCTACCACCACTGTGGGAGTTGGGATAGGGATGGCTCTTTCCTCGAAGGAAACCGATGTTCCACTCTCAGTCAACTTAGGGCACAAAACAGTCTTCAAGAGAGAAGAGGTGGAGGGGACTCATACCTTTGGTGGGAGATAAGCCCCTGCTATGAGGGAACAGAGGTGAAGGGCAAAAGGACTAGAAAAGAACACCTTCTACCACTAAGGGGTCGGAGCAGTAACATGTACAATCCAGCTCTAAGCTTTACTCTCCTGTGTTAGTAGCAGACATTACTGGTTGTTCTACCTACTCTCTGTTTCCCCTTCTTACCACACTAATATAACTCCAATATTGAGAGGTAGCTACCCTTTCCATTTGTTCAGCTTCTTATTGGGAAGCTAATCTTACCTTGACCAAATTGGTCTAAGCCATTGATAGGAATAGGAAGATGATACAGTTCTGGTCATTGACATGCTCAGCTAGCAGAGGAGACTTCTGTGAAACTGTTCCTTGTCCATCAAAAGAGACACATAAGAAGAAACGGGAATCACCCTTTTCTAGCTGTTAAGGGTTCTGGACGGGATGGCTATACTACTGTAGTCATTGTGTGACCATGAAGGGTGCTAACCTTGAGCCAGAAGCCAATGTAGGGAAATCAAAGAGCAGAAAGAAGGGAAGACATTCTATTCTTAAACATGACATTTCTTCACATCATATAACTACTTATCATCTCAAAGGTGGAACTATCCTACCTTTAAACTCCTTACTGTCGGAACTTTTTGAATCACGATTTCTATAATGTGCTGCCAAAATCATTCTACTTAAGTGATTCAGAATTGTGATTCTTTCAGGTTTTCCATAAGCCATTAAAAAACGGTTTGTCATAAATGATTCTCTAGACAACTCTAGACAGGGCCTTTGTAAAGTTAAGGGGGTGCTGATGACCACAGAGGAATAAAGTGGTCATGGAAGAACCTCCGGAACACGAAGGTTTGGTTGTAAACAGCAAGAGACAACAAGCAGGGAGGCCCAGAGCAGTGATCTATAGCACACAGTGACAAGTGACAGAAGGGACAGACTTGTGGGACGTGTAAACAAGTCCTGCGGTTCTTCAGAAATATGAGTGGAGAGGAGGCCATTTAAGACATTGGCCGTGTTCAGACATGCAGAGTAGGGGCTTGGGCTATAATAATTAGATACCAAAAAAATAATGTATAAAAAAATGAAGATTTTAAAGGGATTTAGATAATATTGGCTATAAGGAATATCACAGGATCTCCTGCCAAGAAAATGAGATTCCTATGTGATTTCTTATATCTGTCTGTATATTTCCTATAAGAATACCAGTCATCAAAAGGACAAATTCAGATTGGTATATTCAGACAAATGGAAAGAAAGTCTTTCCCTTTCCCTCAAATGAGTTGGGTAACCATGCATGGTGAGTCAGATGAAAGAGAAACTGTAAGAGCTCTCAGTCAGATCTGGACAAAGTGTTAAAAGATTTAGTAGGATGGTCAAAAACATGTTTTTCACCTTAACTGCTTACTTTCAACTGTTCACTAGAATAAATGCATATAGGTAAAATTAATAAGGAATAAGTAGTTATATTTTAGGTTAATAATTGTACCATTATTAGAAAAAATCTGCCTCATATAAATGCAGCCATGAGTACTTCCTGCCCTTTAAAATCTAGTATAATAAAAGGAATGATTGATTGTACTTGGCGTATTTTCCCCCTCTGTGGTTGCGTTTCACTGCAATTATGAAAACATAATATAATTTTTCCCAAGGCCATGGTTACCTGACAGAAGCATTTAAAAACCAACTATACTTTGGACTTCCAGGCACATGTGTGAGTGTGAGTCATATGACAGTTCAGAAGAGAAATTCATGTTTGACATCCAGAGCTCCATCTTCCTGCCTCCAGTGTCTGTGTGGATATACTTACTTCAGTCTTACCTGAGTTTCAATAATATGGCTTTGTCCAGGTTGTGATGGGCTCTGACTGACAGCTGTCCACAACACTGAGAACTACGATTTTCAGAGGCAGGTCAGAAGCCCATTTCGGACTCTCAAGCCAATATTGTAAAGAAATGCTTCCCCCAAAGTGGGATTCTTTCTCAAATACACTCACCCCCTAAGCACCAGATAGAGCTTGGAGTTTTCAAACACGCTCTGAGTTTAAAAATTTCATAGCATCAGAAACATAGTGAAGAAAAAGGGCAAGAAAAGCAATACAAAGACATTGTTAACTGGGTGATCACACAAGAGTGAGGCCTCCAGATTGGCCACCTCATAGTTATTGTCGAGTGTTTAGAGAAGAAGATACATTACTTGATACTGACACTAACGAGAACAGATTTGGGAGCAAGTTTGAAATGTAGAAGGAGGAAACATTCAAACCCCATCCCCATGGCAGATAATTCACTGTTCCTGACAATTCTGTATGCTCTTATTTTTTACTTACTTTGTTCACATCTTATGCTGTGATTAAACCCAAGCATTCTGACTATAAACCCTTTTGTTCTGTCTATTTCACATAGGCTTAGTGTGTTAATCAAACTGTCAGCAAAGGCAAAAAAAAAAAAAAAAAGAGGCCACATTCTATCCAAATGAAGAAAAATCTGAGCTTTCTACAACAAACACATTTTCCAGTGGATGAGCTTCTCACAGAGTAATTATTTCACTTCTCTCAGAGATTACTGATTACATCACACAGAAAAACTACGAGAGGGCTGTTTTATCTTTCTCATCTATCTATGGTTCTTGTGCAAACTTATACTTGTTATCATGAAAAATGACAAATTTGCCATCTGATCAAAATGTTAACAAGGTAACTGTCAGTGAGATGGATCTCTGACTGTCACTGTAAGCCAGAACATGAGGATACATTGATATTTCTCAATACAGCCCCTGCCTCCCCAACGTTCACTAACTACATTTCCACAGTAAAGGTAATAAATCACCCAGAAATAATGAGCTATATAGGATCTCTGGGGTATGATAGATGTGTCCTAACAGCACTATCTGCAAGGTAGAAAAAAAATGATAATGATCTAAAGAAAACCCTAATCAACTGCCATTTTCTATAATGGGGTAGATGAAGCAAAGATATGAAATCTTAACCATGTGAGGCATGTTATGACAAAATTGGACTGCTCCAAAAAAAAAACAACACAGCCCCAAACAAAACACAAATGACTTAACGTAACATTACGTAGGGTCGAATACATGAAAAATAAAGTTAATAACACAGTCTGGATGCAAACATTATATTGGGCACGGGCAATAATGGGATAATCATAGCAATTTCTGGGTCCACAAACAGCTAAACAGTGGAAGGTTCCTCATATAACACGAATGAAGACTCTGGCTCAGTTACTGGTTTAATGGACTCTCCTCCAGTACTTTTATGTTCTTTAAGACTCTTTGGGCCACATTATTTCTGAGACTTTAATTCAATGGTTTAACCAGTGAAATCATTTTTTTTTTTTTCTCCATAGCAATGTGGCCAAGTGCTACATCCAAGGAGCCAAGAGAGAAGAGAAGGAGAAGTCCATGTGGAAATAAGAGGTAATCAAAAACAGCACTCAAGATAGAAAACTTCTGCAAGACCATGGCATCAGATCACAGGGACAAAGAAGTGTGGCAGCCAACTGCCAAGGAGCTCCTCGTAATGGCATCCCCTTAGGTTTAAGGTTAAGAAAGTCTCGCATGGCCCCATTTGGTCTCCCACCTCTCCTCTCTGCTCCTTTGTCTTTGGCCATTCCTGCTTCTGCTATTTGTTGAATCCTCCAAGCTCCTTCCTTCCCCAAGGTCTTGTGCCTGCTCTTCTCTCTCGCTCAGGAATCTCTCTCTTCCCTGGCTACTTCCCTTCATCCAGCTTAAGTCTCACCCAAGAAACCTGCCTTGACCTTCTGTTTCAAAGTAGCCTCTACTTCTACCCCTTTGGTCTCTAAAGAACCATGTCTGTCTGGACCAGTGTAATTTCCAGGCTTCTAGCACCTTCTCTGCTATAGTAGGGATTAAGCACAGCCCCGATCCGGGGCTCTGGGATACGGGACTGACTAGCTTAGAATTTTAGTGCCACAACTAAGTAGCTGTGTCCCGCTGTGCAAGCACTCAATTTCTGTGTGCCTCAGGTCCCTCCTCTGTAAAACAGGGAGAATACCAATGCCTATAAATGACAGTGTTTTGAAGACTAAATCAGTCTATCAATGTAAAGAGCCTGAGATAGTATTACGCAGATAGGAAGCCATCAATTAGCTGCTGTTTTCATAAGAGCAAGAACAGAGGCAATTCTGACATAAAGTGAATTAATTCATGGTTATAGACCCTGGATCAATGAGTCACCTTCATCATTCCAGGTTTTTATTTTACCATTAGCCAAAACAATACTGTGTTCCTTCAAATTCCATATTCTCAGACTACATGGAATGAATAGGTATTGGTCTTTACATCTCTTTAAGCAATTCCAGTAAATACAGTCACTTCCAATTTGAGGGCACCTGGAATCGCAGAGCTGTTGTTGCTTTGACATCTCAATAGGACTTAAAAATGAAAGAAAAAAATAGATTAACAAATGTATTCCCTAAAAGCAACAAACATGTTTGATGTATAAACATATGTTATGGGCAATGACACTGTACCTTTGGCGCCACATCTCAACAATTCTCTTTTCATCTACCCCTAATCATGCAATTGAATGCTTCCAATGGGCCACAGAGCAGGGACAAAAGGATCTTAAGACCTCCTGGTTACACATAACCTGCTTCTAGAGAGGTCAGGTTCCAACCCATTACACATTGATGACAATTCATATCTGTGATTTCTACTACACTGGCCACATATTTGAATCATTTTTATTTTAACATATTTGATTATGTTCCCTTTAGTGGATTCGAATTTGTGAACAAAAATGTCTTTTAAGAGACATAAAGGAAGGGGATATGGGCAACAGCTCATTACTAAAAAGTCATTTTAGTGTGAGAAGAAAGTGGGCTTTGCTATTCTCATAAGGCACTGATTCTCAAACTTTAGAGCCTACAAGCCCCCTGTTAGATTCTAACAGAACCCTGAGAAAAATGCACATACACGTAAATGTTCACATATAATTTCTGTGGGGTGAAGGACCTCCCAAAACAAGTCTATCAGCCACACACCCCAGGGTAAAAAACTGGCTCAAATCACCTCACTTCCTTTGCATATAACCAATTATTTTAATTTCAGACAAATAAAAGTAAGTTAAGTACAATTAAGTTTAATACAAGTGAGGCTATAAACATTAGGATAGAATATTAGAATGTAAAGATCTTTGCCTGGTTACAGTCTAAATCTAAAGATATTTGCTTTGATTAATACATGGTGTAACTCATTAATTAAATGCAAATTGAGGTAAGATAAACCTGTCCCCATGTCATTTCTGGTAGATAATATTATTCCAGTTTTCTCTCTAATAAATTAGATGAGGCAAGCTTTCTGTTACCAAATAATAGCAATATGGGACAGAAGAAAAAAATTTACCAGCAGGTGCTTTGGAATTATTCACATGAAGAAATTTTTATTTCTTTCTTCTTCACTAAAATAGTACTTTTTCTCATTTTCAACCAATTTTCCAATATGAGGTGCTTATCTTGCTCACTGTTCAAATTAACATTGCATACTTTCAGGCACAGACATGTTCAAAATAGGAGTCCTCTGAAATGCCTACATTCTGTATAAAAAACATTGCTGGTAGGAAATGCAAAATGTAAAAAGCCTTAAAATATATTTAGATATGGAAGACAAAACATTTAAAACACTTTAACACATTTGGAAGTATGAAGTTAGCATCGTTTATGGAATAAACTTCAGGAATCATACTGTTGAAACATCCTCACATCTTCTATTAGGTGGATTAAGGAAAAATATTAACAATATTTAAATGCAAAAAAAACAGATTATCAGGCAGAGAGATCATTATAGCACCTTGTTTCCTAACAAGCACAGCCGACTGTAATTGAGTTTTAAGAAATCCCTGAGGTGGTACTCGGTAGAGAAATCCATACTTAGCAAGGAAATCTAGTTTCCCTTTAATTACATTATCCCAATCAAGGAGATAAGTTTCACATCCCTACAAAGCAAATGCTTTAAGGAGAAGTCTGGCAAGGAAAGTAGGTGGAGGTACAGAGAGGTTAGGGGCTTCAAATAACTTCATATTTGTAGGAGGAACGTGTAGAAAACTGAAGTACATTGTAAGGAAGAAGGCAGATGCCCTGGCAAATGGTGCTGCTCCCCAAAACATATGACACCTGACACCTTGGTCCATTGGTCCTGCTTTCCTATATTAGCCTTGGTTTTCCCTTTGTCACTGAAGGCATGTTCCTCAGCGTTGAACACATAAGCCTAAAGCTGCCCTAGAGTTTCCTAAGCTGATAAAAGGCAGAGCTAAAATGACTTTGGCCGTGACTATGCTGTTCAGAGGAAGAAAATGATAGAATGGTTGGTGGAAATTATTTTCTTGGCAGTGTTCTTACTAGGTCAGCAAACCTCCATTCTTTCCAAATTTTCTGGGTCTCCTGCTTATTTTAGGATCCATACAAGGAGGATACAAACAGTGATGTGTGAGAGCTGGTTTGTACCAGCTCACAAGAGCTGTTTGTTCAGAAAGTTTGTAAGCTGGTAGCCTAAAAAGCCATTAAAAATTAAATCATGTAACTTGGCAATTAATTATTAAAGACAAAGGTAAGAAAATACTCAAAACTCCATACTTCCTAATAATTTCACTACATTTTACTATTATCTATGTTCATAGGTTATATTATTTGTATTCGTCTGTTTTCATCCTGCTGAGAAAAGACATACCTGAGACTAGGTAATTTAAAAAGAAAAAGAGATTTAATGGACTTACACTTTCACGTTCTGCGGAGGCCTCACAATCATGGCAGAGGCAAAAGACATGTTTTATGTGGTGGCAGGCAAGAGAGAATGAGAACCAAATGCAAGGAATAAAACCCTTATAAAACTTTCAGATTTCATGAGACTTATTCACTACAACGAGAACACTATGGGGGAAACTGCCCCCATGATCCAATTATCTCTTATAGGGTCCATCCCACAACATGTGAGAATTATGGGAGCTACTACTTAAGATGAGATTTGGGTGGGGACACAGCCAAACCATATCAATGTCTATTGTATCTTGTGGTGGAAATACTCTCAGTAGTGTGCTACTGCACATCTCTTTCCAACTTTGTGCAGTAACATCAGGTTTGTAGCTTCGACTCAGTCATGATGAGGATTTATATGAATTGGCAACTAGAAACACTACAGATTCACTGTTTTCTTGGCGATCTAGATTTAAGAAAGTGATGGAGGAAAATACTGATTATGCAGACAAAACTTAAAAGCATATTGTGTCAACAGCTGTTACATGGTGAATAGCACAAAAAAAATTGAGAAAATACTTTTTAGTACTCTAGAACTATTATCTGATTAGGCAAAATAGGTCACTCATATGACTGGCAAATAAGTAAAGTTTTGACATATATTCTTAGGTTTCACTTTGCTAATGAAAACAAAAAATGTCAACCAATATTCATGTCTGAAGCACACCTATTGTCAGTGACATGAGCAACTTTGCTTAACTGGGTAGTAACCAAGCATTTATTCCTCATCTGAATTTCCAAATCATGACTGAATCACAACCATAAGTTGACTGTGATTATAGGAATTCAACAAACATTAAAAAAAGCATTCTGTAAAAATCAAATTGGCTATATAGAATTTAGGATAAAGATTGGTATATATTTTATGATTACTCAAAAATTGTGTGGCACACATTTTATATCAGTAAAATTTATAATAAACTGTTAGATGTATGAAGGTATGTGGACTTTATCATGTATCTTAGCAAAAACTGACCATTCAACTTTTCTAAGGACACCTTTATTATGGTTGGAAACGAGAGACTAAGGCATCTATTAAATCATTTTTAAAGTTCTGTAAGACTATTTCCTATCACTAAAGTTATTTATTTGGCTATAATGCCAAAATATACCAGCTACTTCCCCAAAAGCAAGATTACTAGATGGTGACAGATCTGAAAGCTCTTTCTCATTATTTTGAGGATATGTAGGGGAGTCATGCTATGGGACATTAGGGAAATCCACTTTTAGCAGGTGGGACAGAATGGGAGAAGTCAACACCTTGTGAGTTGTGAGTGGACTGCTGAGAAGTAGTTAAGGGTATATAGCAGGATAGTAGTAAACTGAAAGGTCATTTATGTGAAATCCCTGGGACAATATGCACTCTGTATGTCTCAATGATGTTAAAATATTCTGTTCAAATAAACCAAACAATGCCTGTTTTCATTTATAGGTGGGGGATGAAAAATGAGACCACTTGGGCACAAGGAAGAGAACGACACTCACTGTGCTAGGTGGAGGGGAGGTTGAAGGGAAGTGGGGAGAGGGACAGCAGGGGGCAGAGAGGATGGGAAGGGATAAATGCCTGATGTAGGCGATGGGGTGGGGAAGGTGAGGGGATAGAGACAGCAAACCACCATGGCATGTATGTACTTATACAACAGTCCT